GCCTCGCCAAGCACCAACGACAAGTGATGGAGCTGTCCTCAGGGACCGCAGCCCTCACCCTGGGGTGTCCCTGTCCGAGGACACCCCATCCCAGACCAGCTCTCACCCCAGGAAACACCAATACAGACCCCACTAAGCCCAGCCTGACCCACGTGGGGGGCAAACGGGGCTTTGCTTTGCCAGGGTGCATCTGATGCCCCTCCTGGGTGATGGTCTGCCAGCTCCTTGCCCCACACAAGGGCACGGAGGGACCCTGTCACCCCTGCACTCCTGGGGCAGGACCACATGGCTGTGGTGTGGTGTGGGTCCAGCTTGGCATGCCCAGCCTGCAGCCAGGACAAGGAGAGCTGCTGTGGTGCCCAGCTGCATCGCCCAAGATCCGCAACTCACCATCGAGGATATGAAACTCGTCTGCAGAGTCGCAAAACCCTGCAAAAGAGAGAGCCTTGGCACCTGGGACCCCCCAACCTTACACCCCAGGGACACTGCGGGGCACAGCTCTGTCCTTGCGTCTTTGTCCCTGGGGTGGCCACAGCATGGGGACAGACCCCACGTGTTGCCCTGCTGTGGGTGACATGGGGCCACAAACTGCTCAAACCCATGTGGATGTACCTCCTCCTTCCCACACTGGAGAGTTCCAGCCCCTGCTGTCAGGCCCCTCCTGGGTGCAGCCCTTACTGTGGGTGCCCCATGCTCCCAGAGGACCACGTGCCACCCACCGTATGTGGGGAAGTAGTAGGTCACGTCTTCACTGAGACCCACGGCCCTGACACGCTGCTCAAACTTGTCTGCAATGGTGTCGCTGACGCGGCTGGTCCGTCCTGCATGGGGAGGGAGACATTGTCGGTGGCCTCAAGCCCTACCTGTCCTTGCCCCAAAGCCCCCTGTGCCCCCCATGGCAAAGCTCAAGGCCAAGGGGTCTTTCAGCTCAGAGAATATGGTCCCCAGATCCAACCCCTCCCCAGCATTTGGCAAAAAAACTCTCTGTTTGGGGACAAAACTCTCCACTTGGGGACCAGATCCCCTGGGGAGGCTCCAACCCTGTGTCTGGGTCCAGTGGGCATCCCCAGAGCCCAGCACAGGCTGCCCACCCCTCTGTTCTCCCCATCCTTCATCTGCCACGAGCTGCCGGGTGCCAACCCACCATAGAGCTTAACAGAGATTCTCCGTCCCTTCTGGTAATAGAGGATGGCATAGCTGCTGTGGTCCGTCTCGCCCACCACCACGTCCACCTTGCTGCCATAGCCACGGCCTGGGAAAGACAGTCGTGGCAGAGGACAGTCCCAGTTAGTCCTGGTTAAGCCTAGTTAGCCCCTAGACCTCGTTTTGTCAGGAGTGGGGTGTACAAGGGGTGAAAATCAGGGCTAGAGTTGGTGCAGCCCCAGAACTGCCCATCATGGCATCCTGCACTGGGGCACTTTGAGACCCCAGAGGTGGGATACTGGGAGGGAGGACACCGATACCAAAAGTCCTGCTGAGAGCAGGAGAGGGGGGCTCCAGCTCTGTGGTCCCCACAGCCCCCCTGCCACCCTAGCCCAGCCTCCCTCACCCTTCAGGAGGAAGCGTCCATGGGTCTGGGCAGGGAGGTAGCGCTGCCTGATTTCCCAGCACATCCCGTCCCTGTACGGGGAGAGGATGACATTGTCAGCACAGGCTGGGGAGGATCCAACCCAGGTCCCTGCTTGCCAGGGCACACATGGGATCTGTTTCCTTTGGACTTTTCTCCCCAGGGAGATGCTGCAAAGGGATGTCCCAGAGCCCTGTGGAGACATAGCAAGAGATGCAGAACCCAAAAATCTGCTGAGTCCAAGGGGTCCTTGCCCTCTCCTTGCAGCTTTGAGCCTGGCTCAGCCCCTCAGACACCCCTGGGCCAAGAGGGGAGCACCCACAGATGTGCCAAAGATCCCCTTCCTCAGCCGTGCTGCCACTGGGGTGTCCCTGAGAGCCGGTGCCTGGCTGGGTGGCTGTGGAGTGACCATGTGCCCGCTCAGTGCCTCGGTTTCCCCAGCCAGGCTGCCCCACACCCTGCCCAACCTGGGCAGCCCAAGTCCACCCCAGGCTGGTGGTCGTGCCAAGGCTTCTACCACAAAACATCCCAGCAGAGATCCCACCCACGCTTTGCTCTGGGACAGCTCTCTCCTCCTTGGAGTCCGTGGCCAGGGCACTGGTCCTGCTCTGACCTGCCTGCAGCGTCCCCATCTCACCCAGCATCCCTGTCCTCATCCCAGAGCACTGGCTCTGCTCCGACCTGCCTGCGGCGTCCCCATCCCATCCAGCGTCCCCATCCCAGAGCACTGGCTCTGCTCCAACCTGCCTGCAGCGTCCCCATCCCATCCAGCGTCCCCTGTCCCCATCCCAGAGCACTGTCCCTGCTCTGACCTGCCTGAAGCGTCCCTGTCCCTGCCTGTGGCCTCAGTGGCCGATGTCACTCACATCTTCCTGAAGGTGCTGATGGCCAGGCTCTGCTCATCCAGGACCGTCACCGTCACTGCCGTGGCCTCCAGACGGTGGCTGTGCTCAGCCAGATAGCTGCAGCTGGATGCCACGCCGACCAGGAACCATCTGCCTGCAAACTGTATGACATGGGGGTGGCACCATCTGCCAGGTCACCACCTTGAGGTGCCACCACCCTGCTGCTCCAAGCACCCACCACCCTGAGCACCCTTCTTCCATGCTGTCTCCACTCGCTTGGCACCTCTGCCCACAGCCTGGCCCCTTGGTGTGCCCACGGGGCACGACTGCCCTTGTTTGGGAGCTGGCGGGTAGGACAGGGAGGCTGCAGGGAGGGGGTGTGCGAGGCACCCACCTGGGTCCCACACTGCCAGTGAGGCTGCGAGCACCCCAGTGCAGCCCAGAGTGTGGGGTGGGCAAGCACTCCGTTCCCACGCCCACATGCTTGAACCCCCCTCGCAGAGCCCCGAGCTCAACCCGAGTCATGCCCAGCGCCACGGGGGGAAGCCCTTGCCAAACCCAAGACGCAGAACAGCTGCACCGGCCCCAGGACTGAGGCTGGAAGTGGCCCTGAGAGCCAGGGGGTCCAGCT